GGCTCTACTGTCGCCTGTTTCCTGCAACCAGTAAGGTTCGGTGCAGACATGCACGTGACCGTAACAACGTGTGATCGGAGTTTAAACAGGTATTCCAGGAAGAGTGGCAATCGTGGATCGATCCTGTCCAACGGTGACGTCTAGCAATATGATCTATCTGTGTCCATCGTTGGTTTGAAACCGGTGGGCGCTATATGAGACATTGTCTCTTCTTATGTCTAAAGTTAGCGGTGACCAGGAACAGGTGATTGTCCGAAGAAAATTGCAAGAGACGAATACCGTTGCCGGTTCATTTGATATGGGATTCTATGAATACCACCAAGATGACTTTCGGATTGGCTCAGCTTCCCTACTTGAGCGTTAAAGTCACGCGGCACTATGACTGTATCTGAACGTTTTTGTTTCTGTATCAAAATTGACAGCTTTTCATCGAATTCATCATCCGAACTACAGTTGGTGGTTGCTTGAGCGGAGATTACGAATAGGTATCGCCTATTTTCGTGATCCTTCTTAGTTCCGACACATCTATTCAGTCAAATTCCACACGGTCGGCTGTTGCCTGGTATCCAGTAGAGAAGGGCACTTTCTGCCCGACAGCGGAATGCTACACCACGAGGGCTAGTCACTGCGTATCCAGATACTCGAGTTGACTTCTTAAGATTCATGATATGTCAATGTAATAAGGACACTAGGACCCTGTGTACAGTTGTCTTAGAGATAGATTCCAGAGTTTTGGCGAGTGATGCCTACTGTCTGATTTGGCATAGAGTTCGTACATTGGGCTCTTACTTATACACCATGTAACTGGAGTTGGAGAACAACAAACTCGGCAAATGCAAGCAGCTTTCAGACGTGGGCGAGGGTATATCGATCAAGTCTTCGCCCTTCGTCAAGTTATGGAAGATGGGCATACCGGCGTCCGAAAGTTGCCCTTCACCTTCACCTAAAGATGACAGTTAACTAAGTGAGGGGTGTTATGTCAGTGTCTGACTTTGAAGTGAGTTCGGAGCAAATCCTCAGTGCTAATCAAAGTTATCTACGCGAGCTCATGCAGCTGTGTAAAGCCTGGTGGGGTATCTATCGTCAAATGAAATGACGACATCGGATGTTATCCTCCAGGCAAACTCAGCGCTCACGTTCCTTTCTAATCTTGTTACAGGTGTACTAACGGGTATAACATTAGGTGCATCAGCAGCCGTAAGAATTGAATCACTTCCTATTATTCGAATAAGAGTTGCAACTAATTCCTACATTTAATTTTCAGTACATATTTTGTACTACTGTTTTAAATATTATTCTTACAATCTGACATCGGATTACCACCAAATTGCATTCAACTATTCCACTGAATAACACTCTTGATATAAAAAACATGTCACCTAATGACAGTACATTTTCGTTCACTGGCCACTTAGTTTACCGGTTACTTTGTCGTTGATTCATCGCCTTATATCACAGACTCCATTAATAACAGAAGTTATTAGTTGTATTTCATTTCAGTCAATTATGTGATTTATCAATTTTTGTGGTAGAATGAAACTCCATATCTTTGAGTTGGTCTTATATTTTACAGGACTCAAATCTTCTTAAGGAGAGTTTCCTGTCCACATATTATTTATTTTAGTTGGTCAAAGGCAATCGGCAGTAAGACCTGCTTGACCTAGGTTTCGTATCTGCTTGCACTCGTCAGGAAGGTGTACCTGTAACCTGTACAGGATTGATGTCCCACGAGATTCGAACCCACGTCACCCAATGCTGCAGTCTGCAACTTCACCACTAAGCTGTTTGGGCCGCGATTGACCTCCTGTAGGTCTGAGTTGCATATATTTGCTGGTCACGGATGAACAACACCGCGAATATGATCGATAGGATTCGATCTACACTCAAGACTAGACAACATGAAATTGGTTGCTGTCCCGTGACCAATCAATACACATATAATCTATCCCTAGATTATCCTACAGGATCTGTTTGGATTATTCGCGATTTAGATTGGATCTATATCGTGTAATTTTTTTGTGTGTTTTAATTAGTCAATGGTTTTATGATGGATACCATTGTAGTTGATTTATTAGATATATCACATAGTGGAATAGTATTGTTTGATGGATTGCGTTTCGGACATAACTTATTATCTATAGTCATATCAAGATAACTACACAACTTTGAGACATCTTTTATCTAGTGATAATCCCCTCGCCTACTTTGTGATATGGGTAGTAAGATTTCCCATATATATGGAACACGTACTGAGTCATTCCTGCCACGTGTGTTAGGTGTTGATTCGGTAAAGAAAGATTCAGTTATCAATATTTCCTTCCACCCTGCTATCACAAAGGAGGCGAGGAAATTCAGACTGTATAAAGGATGTCTCAGAGTTGTGTGGTTATCTTGATATAACTATGGATAATAAATTATGTCCGAAACGTAATCCAGTGAACAATATTGTTACACTGTGCGATAGATCTAATATTTATATTATTTGGTATTTGTCCCTCAGGTTCCTAGTGGAACATAGGGCTTCGGTAGCACGTATCCACTGCACTCTGTTCTCTCCAGTCTTTTGAACCTGGCTCCACCACTACCCACAAGCTTTCATTTCCTCCTCACACCATATCAACCTAGCCTCGGAGGCCCAACTCGTCGTTTCCCCTTTGGGTTCCACTCGAGGGCCTAACGAGTGACGTCTCCGAATGGTCTCAGTGTATGCCCAATACATCTCCACTTTCTTCTGCACATTTGTTAGGCGATGGGCTGTTGGTTGGTTTGTTCCCAGAGTTCCTTGTTGCTCATTCTTCCTGGTCGTCTGATCTTCATTATCGAGTCAGGGTAAGCAGCTGTAGATGAATGTCTGTAGTTTGTTGGAAATGCTTTTCGTAGCGCGCCGCCAAGTCTCTCAACCATCACATAGAAGCACTGACTTACTTGACTGAATTAGTGTTGAAAATCCGGATCTTGTTCACGCTTTATGCTGAGTGCAGTGCAGTTAATCTCCACACGGATCTCCACAGATCAATGAAGACCTATCTTTCCGATCCTGGCTTTGATATCCTCATCTGTGCCACTGCCGCCTATAGTTGAAATGATGCTGCCTGCCTAGGTAGGTAGGTGAAAGGGACAACTTCGTTTGGGTTTCTCCCGTTGATGGTGATTGATGTTTGTTGTTGTTGGTTGGTTGGGTATCTTCATCATTGTCTTCTCCACACTCACCTGCAGGAGGTTTCATCTTCGTTGCCCTGTCTCTTCTGCCAACTTGTCAGTTTTCGCCTGTAGATCTTCGAGTTTGTGAGACAAAACATTAGACATAAATCACCATCATTGGCGAAATCCAGATCTTCTTCTGGGGTCTTTTCATCGGTCAAACAGCGTAGGCCCATCTTCTCGCTCCTCACGGTTTGCTGCATGAACCAGTTGACCACAATCAGGCGAGGTTAATAAATCTAATATATCAATTAAGATAGTGTTACATTCTACTATAGTAATCAAGTTTTACTCTTATGATAGATAGTTGTGAAAGTAAGTTAAACTATTGAATCACTGCAGTACATGCAAGTTATTCAGTTACTGACTACTCAAATGAAAAGTGAATTTAGTAAGGAATTTATACAGGAATAGTTCGGGTTTCTAAATGTAACTGATGCAAAAAAATTTGCCAGAGTTCCCAATAGTCCGTTGCGGCTTTTCATCTTTAGGCTGTTAACCAAAACGTTAGCCATAAGTAACATATTATTTGAATAATTGTATTGAGGAACTTTAAAGTTGAAGTTTTATTTCACCACGTGTCAAAAAGTAATTGTTACTTTTCAATTAGTTACTAAGTGGTCCATTAATAAATTCATGTACATGACCATGAGTTACGCACGTTCTGTGAAGATTGTAACTTTGGCGAATTTGTTTTGAACTCTGCTTCACTAATCGGGATATAAGTGGCCAATTATTATCTTAGCATTATCATATTAACTATATCGTAAAAAGTTATCGGCTTATTTCAACTAGTTAACTGATGGGTAGAAGTTCACTTATTTATTTGGTTACTGATTGAGCTGATAACATTTTACTTAGCTTCTAACACTATCCCAGATCCCCTCATGCAACTTTCTGACTTAACATTGTCGGATATTGGTAAGTTACAGTGTTGCGTGCCCTAGGAAAAGTTGACAGATAGTTGAACTTGCATGTACCTCACCAAAGTCAGATCCGAGTTCACTACAGATTTTCAGTTCTTACACTCTAAGTAGAGTATCAACTTTTGCAATAAAGTTATGTAGATATATTAAATGTTTCTTTAGAAAATTACAAAGCTCATATATTTCAGTATCAGCATTATCGTGAAAAAAAAAATGGTAATGCAGCGATATCTGAAATGGAAAATGACGATTCCGATGTGTATAGAGCAAACTATAAAATGATAAGTGGGAGTAGTTGTAATTTGGGGAATCTAATATCCTCAACGAAATCAATGACACTGCACCATTCTGTGTAACTCAGGAACAGATGCTGTGGAGTAGTCAAGCTTGAAATTTAACATTCTGAATTGAGTCATGGATTTGAGATAAAATTATTGAGACTACTTTGAGAAGTTACTTATAGAATTGCAAGTCTCAAGTATGCCCGGGTTTCCATTTTAACACGAGAAAGTGTCGACTTGTTTGCTTGTTTCTATGTCCTGTTCTTTGTGAAACTGGCATTTTTCTTCATTTATATACACGTGTATGCTTTAAGAAACAACCTCCCTAGAATCGAATATTTACAGAGTTTTATTTAAAAGCTGTGTTATCAAAGTAATAATATTAGGTTTTAAATCCAGCTGGGTATTAATGACTTATTAGCACTTTGGTGACAACCTTGACCTTGAGGAATGGATCATGGTGATTGGCTGACAAACAAAGTTTTTAATGTTTGAATTAGTCTGTCTTGAATGCATTATTCGTATACGCTTCTAGAAATGAGAAAAACAGCACATCTTACTCTCATATTTCTCCTTTGTTGTTATCATTTCAATGGCGAGTAGCTTGTTTAAATCACGCCCAGAGCATTTACCACCACCAAAACTTTATGGATATAGAAGTATTAGTCAAGAAGAAGAAAAAAAATTGATTGAACGTCTCAGTAAACCTACAATATCAGTTCTACAAGCTCAGCTATCTACACTAACTAATCAAAGTCAGAATGAAACATTCAACACAGCAGTTTCAAAGTATGATATCGAGAATATAACTTCCAACCTTTTTGATTATACTGGTCAGATATCAGTAAATAATTCAGTCGATACAGAAACATTATCTCCATCCTCTGTCTCTTCAAGCCGATTAGTAGATCTAAGATCAATAGGTGATTATGAAAAAGTTGCGGAAAGATTGAATAAATTGGCAGAAATATGGAATAGAAGTGGTAAAAATAACCATTTATTACCTCCGTGTGCATGTGCACGAGGCGAAGTGTTATTACGAGAAGATAGTGAAAACTGGAATTATAGTCATTGTCATTGTTACAGTACATATCCAAGTGTACGCTATCGGAACACTGTTCAAGAACCCGCTAAATGGAATGTAGTCAATAAAATTGTTCGACGACTTCATAGTGCTGGAACGGCTGGATCCAATGCACGTCAAAAAGAGAGTCAACAGTTACTAGAAATGTTAACAAGACGACGCATTGGTAATTCAGTCGATTGTCTAGTTGAAAGTAGCCAAAAGTTAATGCGCAGATTTTCTAGTCCAGAAATAAGATCAAGTTTATTTGACAATAAAGGTAATTTTAAACCTAAGAAATTTATTAATCAGTGGGAAAATTTTCAAGTTAACAATCATAGATTGAGTAGAATTTCAAGACCAACAACATCAAGTCAGCTTAAACGTCGTGGGGTTTGTGTTTTATGCGATGATAAACCATCTGCAAGAACTCCTTTAGGTGTAGTTAACACTTATTCTACTGAAGAGATGCTGTACCACAAAACCACTTGTCTTCGTAATAAGAAACAAGAAAGTAAACTAGTTGAACGTGTCCTTCGACCTACATTTGCTTCACAAGGAGATAAATCTCGATGTGTAAAATCTTATCAGTTTGATCCACATCCTACAATGTCTCTTAAGTCTAATCTATCAAATATCCAGTTAAGTGGTGAGTCAATTATTCAACGACTACACAATTTCAACAAACGATTACCACTGATAAGTGGCCTTGAAAGGAGTTCAAGTATCAATTCTATTATTTGTCGCTTATATTCAGGCAAATGCCGAAGAAGCAATTGTTCAAATAAACAGACACAGGAAAATGAATAAAAGAATATCTTTTCTTAACGACTGTATCATTCATTCTCTTTTGGAAATAAATTTCCTCGATATGGATGATATTCCTAAGTGGGAATTTCTAATCTCAGTTACGAATACATTTTATGGATTATACAAGAAAAATGTTGACTGACAAGACAGAAAACTGCCATTATATAAGCAAAGCATTCAAAATTACTTCTTATGTATTTTCATACCTTTTTGCTTGTTTTTGTTCACTTATTGAACATGAAATAATGATATTCCTGTAAAATAAAAGTAACTTGTCTAAATTTTGATGTCTGCCTCTATACTGTTAAATTATATGGGCAAGCATAGATCATATGAATAAGTAGTTTTCACCTAAGGAAAACAGACCGTATGCGTAGTGTAAAAAGTTATGGATCAGTTCATCTTTGTTCTTCTCCCACGAGTAGATGCACCTCCTAGTAGTGACTGTTTTTTAAATGGCAAAAAACCAAACTCAAAAGGTTTTTATGAATGAATGGCTTCTAGTTTTTGCAGCATGAAGTTACCATAATTCATATTAGGAGATAAGGAGAAGGAAAAACGAGGCGAGAAGCAATAAAAAAGTAATTTGAGTAGTATTTTCTTCCCGAATCGGGTATTAGTTGATAACCGATGTAACCATCCAATCCGTAGTGCTAAGCACTGACCCAAATCTTTTGGCCAAGTTTACAATATGAACCCTACGCCAACTAATACGGCATTGTGGTGCAATACATTTTGGCACTGACTATTGAAAGTCATTTGACAGGAAGCTACGGACCCTGATTTCGTACACCTAGGCACTCATCAGCAAGGCATATCTGTAACAATGAGGAAATCGATAATTTGAACCTGCATCATTTCTCAGAATACTAAAATTCATATGAAACACGTCAAATATCTTATTTTACATTTAAAAACAAATACGTTTATACAAACCAGGAAGCCATGTGAGAGAAGCGCACTGTACATCGATAGTTTATTAAAGATACTCAGTTTCACTGGTTTGGGGGATTTTTACGTGATAATGTTAAAGATGTTACGCATTTTCTACAAATGTTACAAGTGTGTGTAAGTACTCCTGTTCTGATACATTCATATCAGTTTAGTCCAGACAGCTTGATGTCGTTATGTGTTGAAAAGTATCTGGAAATGAATCTGTTCCCACTAACCTGAGTATATTCTAGCATGTTTTTACTGTACTTAAAGACATTCTACTATGGATATTAGTTAGTCACTTAGAAGAAAACATGCCATCTCCTTGAAGTTCTAATAAATTCAAACACTTCATCCCTTAGAACTGGCTATAGCATTTTATAACTTAAGAGTATGAAACACAAATTGTAAATTCTCGAATTTCCTTTCATTCTTATGGATATGTTGTAGTACGATTTCAATTGACTAACTTAAACAGCTTGGGTATACCACAGTGGTCTTTTTGGTACTTGTTATAAACAACTTTATTAGAATAAAGAATGTGAATAGTCACGACGTGTATGAAACACCTGTATACTGAATTTTTGCTAACACATTGACTACTGTTATTAATATTTTGAATCAGCATTCAGAAGGAGAAACTGATGATCGTTAAAATTCAGTCAGCGCTTAGAAGTATGGACTGTTTTGCTAGCCGTCAAGATCTCGCCCAATACTTTGACAGTAGTGCAACCTAAAGGTGAGGTGAATCCAGCTTCCTAATTCCAGTAGTCATTATTGTTGAAATAATCCCCAAAGACGGGTATGTTATTTCCTTGCGAAGGCGTATGATATTCGATTCAGAATGCCGGTGTCTTCAGCCCTAAGCATGGCTGTATTTTGACAATCCAAACGGCAGCGACTGTTGTGAATCTCTCAGAATTGTGGGATCACGTACCAAGCCTCCTAGAAGGATTCCTTTCCGAATGGGTGAGTTGCACTTAGGTCTATAAGATTGTAGAGAGTTCACTAAGACGCATCTATCCATGGAGAAGTGAGTCAAACTGATTACCCGGCAAATATGGATATATTAAAGCTTAACAGTTGAGAGGGTTCTGCGATAACACTGAATAGTTTGAGGAGGCATTAACGGAATGTTCTGAAAAAAGTGTTCGTTTTCATATGGAAGTGTTGCTTGGATGTCTTCTGCTTTGAAAGTGGACACATTCATTAGGTTCGTGTTGGGACGTCCATAGATGTGAAGATCGACCTGGAACTTGGAGCCGAGGAGAAAATCGAGGTGAAACCTCTCAGATATGCACGTGTCATGGCATTTTAGTTGGTTATCCCTGTTTTATAACACTAAGAAATAACAGAACATGACTGGATATCATTTTCAATGTTACTTTAAATTCTGACCATGACTCAACTGTTTAGTGCAACTACCCTAGAAATGTTTTTGGGAATTACTTGCAGCTGCTTGAAATTACTGAAATGTGTTAAAATACTGATTGTAAATCTTTTTGTTCCTTCTAGTCGTAGTTAATACAAATTCCGAATTCTAGCTCCAGTATTGTATAATCATATATTATGTAAATAGTACAAATACTTAGAATATATGCCTATCAGTGTAAGAGACCAAGAATCAGTTATTATTGTATACTACGTACTGCAATGAGTTATCGAAAGATTTTCAACATGATTTTATCTAACTGAAAATTAGGATCCAACCCATTGTTTCAACATTCCACTACTTATGTAGGAAACCTTACGACTGAGTTGCAGGAAGGAATGTTTATTGTTGTCATCTTGTACAGTAGTGATGAAATATTATACACTTTCCACTAAAACAGTCATTTGCTCAATGTTTCATTTCCTCTTCTGCTTCTATCTCAATTTGCTCTTAATAAGCCCACTTTGTCTCTTGCGTTCCTCTGGGCAGAATCTTTACCCATTGCTGGTAATTCCCTATGATTATGCCGCCCTCTTAACATATACTACTTATATCCATTCTGAACAGCAGTGCCCACTACATTTTCAAAATAGCTCACTGATGATGTTTCAGATGCCCCCATCCAGTTAACACTTACAGAATTTGTATAAATCTGGGCAGTATGAGAACAAACGAAAGTTAAGGTGAACATTTACTTATTGGATCCATAGGTAAGTTGGTAAAAGAAAGTTATCACTTTATGAATTTACCACTTCTTTGGATAACATTGGGAGATAATGGCTTAACAAATGGAAAAAAATAAAGCTAAGCATAATAATAGTCTTTCCCATACAGGATCTTTGGAACTAACCATCAAGAAGCTATAGACCTATTCCTCATGCTTTTTGGTACTCATCAGTGGTTTGCATATGCTCGCTTGAGGAGACTCACATTCGCTTGGAGATTCGAACCTACGTTACTCAATTTTGATATCAGAGGTCTTACCATTAAGCTATACAAGTCTTGACAGATTCTTAGTAGATTGGAGTATGTAAATGAATTATCATTGTCTGTAGACGTTAAGTTTTAGGTGCTCAGCACTGATCGAAGTCTATCTATTAAGTTTAAAATGTGGCGACTTCGCTGGATGGTATGACACTGGTGCACTGTATTTTGACATTAGGTGTTGAGAGTTACTCTGCAGCAGGCTCTACAAATAACTGCTATGTAAGTTTAATCTGAATTTGAAATTTGAGCATTTTAGCTGTGCGTATTAGATTAAACTGAAACGAAGCCATAATCTGCAGTGTTACTCACTACTATTGTTGACCATGTGATGAACTGAGTTTTCCGGATAAGGTATTGTGAGGTAATGAAAGTAGCTTGTTGGATAGACGGCATTGACCACGCATGTTTAACTGTTCTTTATTTTCCCACAAGCCTTTTGAAGAAATTATTGATTCATACAGGAAATAGTTGTTGAGTAGTAGTAGTTAATGTTTATGCTTTTGTCTGCAGTCTACTGCCAGCGATTATACAAGCTAAGTGCTTATTGTTTTACGAGATCTAGTTTTTCGATGTTATATCCACTTCAGGCCACTACGAAGAGACTGAGTAAATGATAATAAATATGCGAACGATAATAACGCAATGAGACACTTAGAATGGATACGAATAGCGACTGTTCTCTCTCAGAACTTCATACTTCACTTAGCCACAAAAATCAGTAGGTAAGGACCGGCCGGTGACTGTAAGGAAGCTACTTTATTTGACAAAAATATATCATCAATATATAGTTTTCACCAACATAACAGCATAAAACTAATAGGTCAAAAGTTATATACTCATTTTGATTGGTCAGATGTGGGATAAACTGTCCAATAAAACCTATCTTGACCGCACAGCGGTATGAAACAAAGGTTGAAATCCAAAACTTTTACCTTATCAGCTGATGACTTAAAATGTTGTTTTCCATATAGATCGCTTCCTATCACGCTATAAAACCAAACATTTAGGAAGTTAAATTGCTCTTGGTGGCTAGCTGGGAAATCCAGAACGGGCCTTTCGTCCGGTTTGGGGCTCGTCACCTGTACTTACCTGCCTCCTAGTGAGTGATGAACTTCCCACTGAGACTGAAACTCAGTACCCACTTCTCTAAATGCCAAAGCGTTACTTACTTGCGCACAACAGTCACCTCTTGTTCAAAGAGTATCAGTTGTTGTTTTGATATTTTTGATTTCCCGTTGCTATACGAGTGCCAAATACCATGAAATGTTCTTCCTGGTCTCCAAGACGAATATAACATCATGACTATCCGGGAATTCGTCCCTGTATAGCATCGGTAGAAAGATTTTGGTTAAAGCTGGAGAATAATTGGCTTTGTTTCAGAAATGTGTGATTTTCCGAGTTAACTGACAACATTGAATTTTACAAAGTGCATTACAAAGAAATCATGAACGAACTTCAGGTAATTATTTTTGAATTTATATACAATATGCTCTGAAATTTATTCGTTATCATGTTTCCATGTTGATTTTTTAAATGGTGGCTGTAAGATGAATGAATCGGCTACAAATTGACAGAAAAGTGCATAAATGTAAGGCTTTTACAATAATAAAATCAGAAAATGTCGCAGAATTTATTCTCAAGTGATTGTATGGATGGATATTTTGTGGTGGAAACTACGTGTATTTAACATCCTTACTTGTTAAAGTGAAATATGGCGATGTGAACAGTATGAATATATTATTTTCTATTTGCATCGTTTCTGAATTGCAATTGACTTATTTCAGCATTTTAACTGGTCAATGTTATGGATTTAGTCTCCATTATCTTCATCCACTTGTTTTGTTTTTACTTTATCTTACACTGATGGATCATCAACATTGAAAGTGCTAGGAATTTATGAAGATGTATGTGGTGCTAGATTCGTATTTGTAAAAATTGTCTACTCTCCTAGATTAGCTACACAAAGGATTGTAATTTTCTAATCTGTTATAGACTATGAACATCATTCCTTTAGAAAATAAACGCTAAACAGTTTTTCCTGTTGAGCACACTTATGAGTTCATCAAGGGTCCCTAATGGAACTGTGGTTGATTAATCTAGATATTCAACTGTCAACTAGTGGGTTACAGGTTTGAACACTGCTTCACTTAACGAGGTTTTGGCAGCCGAGTAGTATCACTACCCCTCATGCAATAGGTGTGATTCCTAGCTGAGTGTATGAACGTCCACACGGTTGCTGATACTTACTGTATGCTTGAATTAATAATTTAAGTCTATAAGTCTAATCAAGATCTCACAAGTTATTCAGATATATTTAACAACTGAATGGTAATTACCATTCTGATGTCAGTCAATGAGGAATACCACCCTTAAATAAATTGTATTTCATTGTAAAACTTTCATCGCCTGTTATACATTGTGCAAACACTTGATTCAATCCCCCAACTTACTCGCAATAGGAAAATGTCTACCTATAACAACCCACTGTTATTAGCAAACGAAATACAAATCTATTAGCAACTCAAACACATTGTTTATTTTTTTTTGCCCTGTCTATTCACTTTCAAGTTATTTATCCACTAGATGAACCTGATTCTGTATCTTTTAAGAGTTGTTCACTCATTGTATTTCTTCAATAAGGTCCATCATTTTATTGTTAGTAAGTTCGAAGTTTCAATTGTCTAAAAAAGTGATTTCTTAAGAGAAAAAAAGGGTTTTCTCTTATTCTAAATACAAAGAAGATACCACTGTTATCGGGTCCTAAAGTGATTTTTACGACATTATTCCATTTAATTATCTACTTGCATTGTTTCTCAAAGTACAATAAACAGTTTATCATTACCAAATTGTACCATTCAATATGCAACGAAGTTTAATACTTCACAGAATACTTGAAATGATAATGAGCATAATTCATGTTGATGGTTTAAAATCACAGCAACAAATTTTGTAAACAGTTATCTACAACAACACGAGAATTCTGTCTGTCTTTATTAATCTGACATACATTAGATAATGTGCTAAAATTTCTATGCAACAACCTGCCATAAAATAGATATATCCACTTGAATTCATTGACTGTAACATGAAAGAAAAATCGTAAATGCTAAAGTTATCGACTGTTTGACAAAACAACCCGTTGTGTGAACCTGTAATTCAAAGGTGACACCAGCTTAAATCCTCGAAAATCACCTCTAAGAATATGTAAGCAAGATGTTTCACGAAACCCTCCTTAGAATCCTATTCTCCAGTAGATAACTGATTCATGAATGCATCGAGGACACAATACTGCTTTTGACAACTTTAGTGTGTATCTACCAATTTACTTGTTGGTGTTGAGCAATGTACATTTACTACACACCACGTCATGTCCATAAAAATGTTTCCGAACATTATCATGAAAGATTACCCCCTCCTAGTAGATGCTACCCTACACTTTTCAATGACTCCAAGTGTTTCATCTATACATAGTCAAATCACTAGCAAATCACAGCTTTAAACCTGATCTTTGGTTTGAAAATCATCATGTACACTCATCAGCTTTACCATGATCAGTGTAGTAATTCCTTTCCATCTTCATAAACAACATTTTTTATTTGACTGTTAGTATTGTAGTAACCAAACGACTCTAGTGATTATTTATAGACTGTTATTTGTTTCCAAAGCTTATGATTACGACAGTACACCTTTCTTAAATGAAATCATCAAAGAAAAATTCCTTCCCTGTTACATCTTTTTTCCGTAACTTATCACGATATCAAAAAGAAGAAATATAGATAGTTTTGTCATTTTAAACAATATATGATCGATTCTTGGTATTTTAACTTAACGTGGTACAATTTTATTTATTAGGCTATGAGCCTCAGTGGCTGTGTGAGAGATTACGGTACTGTGGGTTGCCAAGACTGAAATGGAGCCACAGATCATTTGTTTCAGCCCTTTACTGACAATTTATTGGTCATAGGTTAAAATTCAACTCCATTTGCTTCAGTCTGAGAAGACTGGATAACATCGTAACACCTCACTCAGTAGTTGTAGTTCATGGCCTAGTACATAAATGTATGCCATGTAAATGAGTTACATCAATCATCATTCTTGTTGAAATAGATGAAACATGATTTAAACTTGAGGTTTATTGCTTAAAAGTTTAACACTTAAACCAACTATCCATATCGTCACTAAAAGTAAGCAGGTTTTGGACAGCTAATCTGTAGTACATTTTTTGTTAATAGAAGTTCAGTCTCTGGTACATCTCGGCGTCACTCGTTATGTCCTGTAAAATTAGCCTATTTTTTAACAAAAAGATACAACGTTATCTGCCAAATTCAAAAATATCTTATGTTTAACAACAAACTTTCACATGTATATAGTGACCTTGAACACCATTGGTCAATTACTATAATCTGATTTTATCAACTTTAGATACAAATTTAAAAGTCATCGATGAATCACAGGCATTATTTCAGAAGTGATGTATTTACTTTTATGGAAATATATTACAATAATGATCAGTTTATCATTTAAAAGAAGAATCAGTTGAAACAGTCAATTTCTCCATTGAAACAGAAATAGTAACTATAAAGCGTTCAACTTATATATAAACTATTTAAAAATATATGTGAAGCAGATAATAATTACTATTTATCTTTTTTCACGTTATGCACAACTGAGTAGTAAAGCTGTGCCAGCTTGAATCCATTGATTTTGACTCCCTGGAGGACATGGTACACGAATATGTGTCATCAAATTACTGCGGGTATTATTCAAGTAAATTGGTAGAGAGATAGAATCATTCTCACACAAAGGATCCAATTCATGCTAAACAGATAAGGTGAGAAAATGAAGGATATTAACTGAATAAAACATATTAACTAACCGGTAACAATGTTATCTAGTTACCTTAATTTAAACAACCCAATCAGGATATCAATCTGCAAACAAATAGTTATCAGTTGAATGTATATACGGAAAAGTCATAATTCTAAAATCCGTACTTGTTTCTCTGCTAGAAAAAAAGACTTAGATTCGGGGTACACTAGTAATATGCGGACGACATTTGTGATGATTCCGTCCGCAATTTTTTGACCAGCAGAAAGCATAAAAGAGATGGCATACAAACTGAATTCATATACTTCCAAACACATTTCCAAGTTGATTATCCATTAGTCTTAAAGCATATCATCAACCCCAAAAATAATGTTTACCTAAAAATGACAACGCGTGAATGAGAATTTTAACGCTCACTTGAGCTTGCAAGATGCCATACCTCTCTTATGATTAATTCATTCATTATCGAAACAGACAACATTAAAATCAAAATAACTAAACAATAATTACCTTTGGAATCCATTTCAAAATAATATCAGGTAATTGTATAAGACTTGGATCATCTGAATAACTCTGACTAAGTTGACCATTACGAAAATTGGCGCCTTCTAATTTTAGATTGGTGATTCGTACAGCTATTGATTTGTTGTTATCAGTGGATAGCATACTGCTCGATTGATTCAATTGTAACCATTGGCAAGATAGTTTAAGTGTATCAATTGATACATCTAGTTGTCTAGCAGTTTGTTGACGTAGAGCATTGAGAAATGTGGTCGGACGAAATAGATTCGCTAAATCTAAACCATGTGTATTTTGTTCACTAAGAAACTGATCATTTTCGGCTTGCTTAGTCCATGTCTGATAAAGAGAAGGAAAAAAAGCATGCAATGTATGAATACACAACTCATTGGTACTACATATATGCTGAGAGTGAAGTAAGATGCATGCACCTACACTCTTCAAAGAAAGCGATTAACATAATTCTTGGATTTTAAAAATAATTAAAGCAGATCCCCACGAATTCCAATACGATGTATACTGAGAATTACGCATTCGAAATGGTCGTCCTCATGAAATGTAGTTCATTGGATAGATATCAAACCCCCAGTGATTCTGTGAAGCATCCAAATCCCAAACTTTGGTTCCACAAAAATATTCAATACTAACCATAGATAGAATAGAATCTTAGACTTTCATAATCTGGCGATCAGCACTTTACCGTTGACTTACTGGAATGGTATTCAACAGCAATCAATTTCTTCAGTTGATTTTCATTGCAGCTTAAAAAACTTTCCACAAATAGATTAATTACTGGCGAACCATCTAGTTGAGTAATACAGTATTACATATTCTTAAAGATTAGTAATCAGTATGATACACTTGCGCATAAAAGTCTATTAGTTTACTAAACTGCGTAAGAAGTTTAATTCCACAAATCTGGTGGTAGGAATTGTGAGCAAAATGAAAACTAGTTGATGAAGTTGTACTGATAGTAATGTTGAGCCTGAATGACTGACTGATTGACAAAATCAATGCAGAACCTTACACGCAAGTACATCGGTTCAAGAGTTGCCACATCACAGTAGTACACAAAGAAAAGGATCGAAAAAGAGTGGTACCAAAATAGATAAAGCTGTGTGAGAGAATAAATAATTTCAAGATAACATTTAGTGTGAATTTTCGAGCTTTAGAAGATGTCAATGAGTGAATACATCTGTGCCATTGCGACTGATTTTCAACCACGTCACTAACAGTCCTCAACCACCAATTCCTTTCGTCTGCTGAAGCCCAACCAGGCAGTTTACTCCTCTCCGGCCCCCCACACAGCTGAGAACAATAGTCATAGACTTTATGCCACGTCTTGGCTTGACCACCCTAAACCCTCTTCCAACCTAATCGACCATGAATTTTAACCTTAATCAAAAAGCATAAGCGCATAAAAAAATCGGTCTACATATCCATCTTCCTATTTCAGTCAGTCACTATCAACGTGTAAGCTGATATTACTGCATGACGGTTCAAGTTACTAGATCTCAAACCATATCATCAAGATAGAAAACACCAGTATGAAAGACAGATAAATGAGTGAACAAGTAATCAAAAGCAGTAGGAAGAAATAAAAAGGGGGAGGAAAAGGAATAAAATGATTATGCAGTTCGGCAGAACAGTTAAAATTAAAATAACCTGTGGGTTCTGAGCCATATAACCTGATTTCTGTCGTCATGCAGACCTCAACTTAGACGTCTACATTCCCATATACGTCTAAGGTCAAAAGTCAAAAATTGCATACACTGTTGCTGTTTTGGTATGACTACCAATAACTTTCTTTCAGTCTGAACCTACTTCAACTAACGCTATGAGATGAGACGGACAGTGACTAGGGATGCGCAACACATATCTCAGTCATCTGAGTCAATAAAGTGTAACAGTCTATTCAACTGAATTTCCTCTTCTATCTAAAACTGTACCTCTCACGTCCACGTTAATGATGTAGTGGAACCACGACCTATCCTATGAAGGCACTAGTTTGGACCCCTGAAGTTTCTTGAAATCCTGTGCTTTTAATGTCAGTGTCTCACTGACATACAGCAGCACAGAACGAATTGCAGTGTAGTATTCGAACCTTAATATGCAGGGGGAAATCTAGCCGATGAAACTAATACAGCAAAATTTTCATTTGAATGGTGAGAAAAACACTTTGAAATTTTGAAACTGCCACTCAGGGTGTCCAGAAGACTCTGCAACTTTTCAGGATCCTCAACCAACAGAATCTAGTCATCTGTGTACTCTGGTCTGCTAAAAGGTCTGCAGTGACAAGTTTAATCCCTGTAAGGTCAAATGAAAAGAGAAAGACCTCATTAAGCACTTCTATAATAATATAAATGCAAATGGAGAGCGTGAATACCACTGATGGATATCTTTTGACGGACACAACTCACGTGATACCTCACCATAGGCTCTAACACCACAAAGAGTGTTGGAATACAGATCGATTGATAGGGTGATGAACTAAATAGTCATGTCTTTCGTTAGGAGACACTACCCTAAGAACTCTTGATAGACTAATTCAGGTTAAGAAAAACAGACGGTGTATAATGCCGGTAATTCTGCCTGGTGATGAGTTAGAATATCATCGACAAACCGGAGAACAGGTTTGAAACCTGCCTGGTTTTCCTAGGTTTATTCTCCCCCAGCTTCACCTGGACATCTGATCGCTGACATAATATTCGTCAGACCGACTTCCCTGTGGCCATCGCAGGAGGATTTTTCTTGTCTCTTGACGACTAGGAGCAATCAGTGATTGCGACCAATCAAAGGGGATCATATGTGATTCCTATACACTAGCTAACATTTAAGTAATTTAATCAATAACCCTCTACCACTGTCCTTACGCAGCTCTGGTACGAATCCATAAGCGTCTGCTACCTTTCCTCATTTCAGGTTACTTGCAGCCTTCTCAACCTCTGAAACAGTTAGAAGGGCTATCGCATTATTCCTTACAGGATCCAACTGGATACCGGGCAACCAAAGACTAGTTGGAGGCCAGTAGAGCTATTCCTCGAAATGTTGTCCTCATCTTTCACCGCTATGCCGTAACTAACCACTGTTGTTTTGCTCATGTTCCTTGATAATTATAAATGACTATTACCTTCTGTTACCAATCCCCACTGCCTTCTCCAACGACTTCACCTTCGCTTCACATCACTGCTCTTTGTCGGTCTACAATCGAATTGCCTCCCCTTCTCATCACGCTCAAAGCCTGTGAGAATGTGTTAACGTGCACTCGTCAGTTTAGAAGAGGCTATTGAAAATCACTGACACTTTCTAACCTTTTCCTGAAGGCCAGTTACAGTCTTCAACGTTGCTTTTCTAGCGGAAAAGAGACGTTATCAGGCTCCTTTACTATAGGTGGGACTGTTTTGTTCCGGTAATCATCTTACCAGTTCTTCTTTAAAAGTAACCTTATCATTTTCACCGTTGAGTTCTACTCGGAACTGTCTTGCAGCTGTTGATACTGTACCACACCTGAAATAACCAATTCGATTTCGATATTTTACGAAATCCTGCCTTCCTAGCTAAACTTAAGAAACTTGATTGGCTATTTCGGGCGACTTTAAGGCCACCCTAGCAACTGCAGAAATAACCAATCAGGTTTTGGTATTCCGGCTGAAAAAGTAGTTTTTCATAAAATAAAGAAACTCAATTGGTTGGTTATCTCACCAGTTGCTAGGATGACCTCTAAAACCACTCCAAATTTGTTTTGTTCACTCATTGCATGGGTGTATGAGGTAAGTAGTAGTCCCTTGGATTTTTGTTGGAACTTAGAGGCAAGTATGTTAACTCATCACAGCATAGTTATTTAGTATTGTCTACCTGATAATATTTTGGGCACTACTTTTGTTTATAAGCGCATCTGGGCTGTGTATTTACTTTGATATAATTATGAGAAAAAAAGTGTCCCTCACGCTGTTTATAACAAATAAAACTATGCCATTGATTTCGCTTTTACCTGGGTAAACAAACAGATGAAATCGAGATTGTGAACTTGTACCTGTATTTTGGCTTAAACTGACTGGTTCTTCGTTAGAAGTTAAAATCTTTAACATATGGGTGGAAGTTTCTTAGCTTTATAACACACTCTGAGTAGCATTTTAGTCTTGTTTCACCTTAACAGTTCCCAACAAGTTGTTTATTTTACCTTCATAGGTTTTAAAAAATACAATATTTTACTGATACGAAAAGATGAAGACCCCGTCAAACTAGTGCTTACACTAGATCCGTGATGAAAACAAAGAAGCTATATTCCTTTTCAGTTTTGCACTTAGGTCATTCACTTATAGTGTACATTTCGAGCAAGACTGATTTCCTTCAAAGATCTTATCAACAACTGCAACTGTATAAACATATAGGATAAATTTAGTGAATGCGGTTATCTAGACAAAAGAAAATGGGACTTTCACTGGTCAAAAACCAATACTGATGGACAAAATACTGTCCCTGAGCCTGAGAATCCGGAGATTTATTTCTCAGTGAGGTTCTGTAGTAAAGTTTCACTAGGAGTAAAACATGAACAGTTTATTCAGCCATATAAGAGTAGAATTTGAGCATTGTGATACAGCATAATCGCACAGTAGTTATTTTATTAAATGTACTATACAATGAAATCGTATCATTTGATAAATGGTATCAAGCGACGTCAACTAGCTGAGTAAAACTGGTCGGCCTGGATTAACTAGGTAAACAGAACACAGAAGTCTAGCTAAATGTACAATGGTAGACACTGCCATAATAAATCTAGAAAAGAGCTCAGACATAGCTATGCATGTTGTCACACACAATAAGATGGGATTGGGTAACAACTTTAAAAAGTAAGTTATGTAGCCGGATAGGGAGATTGATAACTTAAACGTTGTTTAGAGGTGGTAGCCATCACGGTCCAACATCATTTGGGAAAACATTGGAAACCTGGGAGCACTGGACTGAGGTCAACCAGTCAGAAGGGAAGCGGATGCCAACTGAAGACCTTGGGTGGTAATTGTGCTAATATCATGAATTGACAGAAGTTGGAAACTGTGAACCACTGAACTCCAACCCAGCGGTTTGATGGCTAACGCGTTCGCCGTGAAATATGAAGGTCTTGAGTTCTATCCTTAGCCGGGTCATAGGCGCGTGCTTCTGAAGAGTCCCGCACTAGGACGAAACAGCTGTCCAGCACCCTAGGGTTTCCAATGGTTCCCCAACTGATGTTAGTCCATGACGAATACTACATCTTAATTATAGTCCCTACTCATCTCTGAAACATTGTTTATCTGATAGGGACTTGAGAAAAGTAATACGATTGACTCTACCTCAATTCC